CATGATTCCAAAGAGAAAAAGAGGTCAGGAAGACGATAGTAGGAGACATAGGAAGTGGCATCATAGTGATGAAGATCATGTGAATGGAAATGAGAATGATTGGTCTCGAAAGTCTCACAGAACTAGCAGCGACCACAAGAAATCAAGGCAGGTATATATTAGAAATAATTGTGACCCTTCATTTGATTTATTATCTAAACAGTGATGTAAAGATTTATTATCTAAACAGTGATATAAAGTTTAGCTCGTTTCCAATTTTAATGGCACAGCAGGAACCTGGTCCTGAATCAGATTCCGAAAGCAGACATAGAAGACATAAAAGAGATCACCAGAATGGTTATCGTAGAAATGGTGATCGTGAGGAGCTAGAAGATGGGGATTTGGAGATGTTGGGGAAAGTAGGTAGCTGTTTCATCCCCCAAATTGCCTATACCTGTGTTTTAAACTTTTCTTAATATTGCGAAAATATGTTTTCCTTACAATCTTTTGACCTTCTAGTGCTATATTTAGTTTGAAAATACATGTTTCCGTTTTCTCTTACTAGGAATTAGCTGCACCATGCTGTACTATTTCCATCTAGTTATGTCACCATTAGGAGGCTTTTTTGTATACTATTTTACTCAGTCCGTGGTGGTTTCATTGTTTACACAATACAGAAGTTGCTTCCTTTCCTTATAGAGCCTTTTGTTTCACAGAGGGGACCGAAAATAATCACTTCCATATGGTTTTTCTGCGGGTAACTGCATCTTCTGTGGCTTTCAGAACAAACGGGAAGTTGAAGCTGGTTTTGGACTTCTTTCTTTACGTCCCTTGAAGTAACATACTTCAATGCAAATTGAGTAGCTGAAAAACAAGTTTGATACACTTGCAACAAGGTGAATCAAAGTCGTAGGTCCAAAATCACAGACGAGGGCCATCTTGTGTTCGGTAACTCCTCTATTAGACCCTGAAATGGTGGTTAACTTGATGAACCTTTGCCTTCATTCAAGTTTCCTATCTTGGGTAGCATATTACCCTTTTTCAACTTGATATTGAATAATTTGGATTTCATTTCATGCTGTTGATTCAATTTTTGTAGAATTCCAATTCCATTTCTGGGCCTTTTGACGAAGATCAAGTGAATTCCCACTTCTTGGTAAAAACTCGGCATATATTATAGGAAAATAGACAAAAATAACCCATTTTTTTAATCTTGGGATAGAAATAGGATATTTCGAATATGCACATGCCATGCACAACAATAGGACATAAATATGAATTTTTCTACACCTTGAAATGATCAAATTGCTCTCGTGTATCAATGAGTTATTTCCACCCATTTTCTGATTTTTCTCTATACTCTCTCTCCCGTTCTCTCTAAAATTGATATTTATTGGTTGTTCTTAGGGCAGTTCCAGTGTGTGAAACCTCCTCCTAGGCAATACACTATGCTATCCATCCAGTGAACAGTAACTGCCCTTAATGAATAGTAACTGTCTTTTGCATCTCTACCGTTGCACTTCAATAGCCCTGGCAATAAGCAATAAAATATTAGTATTTTTTTATTTATAAAATAATACAAAATAATTTTAATTGTAATTTCGGATAAGATTTTTAATCGTTTTCGTTCCGCCACGTGTCATTATCCAAAAAATTATTAATAATACAAAATAATTTTATTTGTAATTTCAGATAAGATTTTTAATTGTTCTTGTTATGCAACTTGTCATAAAATCCGAAAAGACAATTATTGGGGATGGATTTCTGATAAGATTTTTATTCAACTAATTATTCTCTGCAATTGGATATAAAAAAAAATTTCGTGTCACGTGTCACAATGATAACTTTTCTTAATTTTAAAACTATTTTTTCTTTTATTTATTTATTTATAAAGCCTATGAATATCAATCGTTGATCTCAATCTCTCAGGCGACTCGCGACGGCGCGACCCTTTTCACTCTCAATCTCTCACACCTCGCCCTCGTCGTCAGTCACTCTCTCTCATCTCGCCGTCAGATTTTTCTTGCCGTTTTCAAGTCTCGACAGTCGACAGCAAAATGTTAGCCTCCTCTCTCTCTCTCTCGGTCTTCAAGACTTCAACTTCAATCACTCTCTGTATCTCTCAAACTCTCTGTCTCTCTCAGTCTTGAATCCCAGGCGACATCGAGTTCGCGACCGGCGGACCTTTCTCACTCTCAAATTGTCTCAATCTCTCACATGGTCACACCTTGCCCTCGCCGCCAGCGCCAGTCATTGATCTCGCCGTGAGCTTGTTCTTGCCGTGTCGACTTCGAGTCTTGAGACTGCAAAAGGTTGGTCTCGTACTCTCATATCTGGGCTTCTGCTTCTGCTTATCGAATATCGATATTAGATTCTGGGCTTCTGCTTGACTGCTTCTGCTTAGAGCTTACCGATTCTGGCCTTCTGGGCTTCTGCTTCTGCTTAGTGCTCACCAAATTACCAATCATTAAAATTGCATGTAGATTCAGAATTCATAAATTGTAAATTTGTAATATTTGATTAATTATTCTTTGTCGTGAATCGTGATTGAAGATTTTGATGGTTTTCTGGGATTTTGAGAACCTGTTGGTTATACTGTAATATTCGATTTCGATATGTTCATGTGACCATATCCTGATAGATTAATGAATAATCTTGAATGTCCACTGTAGTAGCCCTTGTGAGCAAAAAAGGGTTACATAAACTATTCAGGATCTTTTAACAAATTGGTTAAGCTATTTATGAATTCTTAAACTCTTGAAGCTCTAATGTTTTGTTTAAAAGGCCTGTAGATGTTCATGAAGGTGCCATCTTCTGAATGCAACTTCCATTAAGCTTACAAAAGGAAGCTATGCTTCAGATTACATTGGCAAATTTGAAATAAGATCAGAGGGATTTGTCCAACAAACTTTTAATTTGTCTGACTTCATGGTATTCTTGCTTGTCAATCATAATTTCTCAAACTTAACCATTGACGCTTCTTAGAGGAATTCGTTAAGTTTTTTAGATATTTATTGCTGCGTTGCTGTCCAGTCTCTTATTACCGCCAAAGTTGGGAGTATGGCTCATGAACTCTCAGAATTCTTGAATTTTCATCTGTGCTTTCTTTTTCTATGTTTTATAGATATATTATTTCTCAAACAGTTGTTTTACCATATATTTGGTTTACTTCAACTTGGATAGTTTTTTCCTTATGCAAGATTCTTTGCTTAATTAATAAATATATATACTCTAAACATCCCTCCCTACTTACAAGTTAAAAGCTTGTGGTGGCACCAACTATTTCATTTGACCGATTAATTTATAAGAATAAACATAAAAGAATGAATGTCCCCAATAGTTTACACTTTTTGCAATTTTTTAAGGGATATGCTTCTGACAACATAAATTGCTTAATATTTACTTTACGAATTCCACTCAATTATTATGTAAATGCATATTTAAGTTTTGCATCCTTGTATATCTTGTATTATTTTAAATTGAGAGGATCAAATAATACTTTTGTAACATGTTCTCAGTTAGTTTGTAAGCGTAATTGGATTATTAGTTCTCGTGTTGATATGGTAGTGTGGACTATACACCTCATAAGTTTGTAGTACTAACTACTATCCTCATATTATTTTGTGTGAATTAGATGAAGTCAAAGGCGTCAAAGGTCTCAAGCTCAAGTTCAAACTCAATGAGATCAAAATCAAATAGCCCTCAGGATCAAACAAACTCATCTTCGAGTATACCATCGGAAGTAAGTAGTCATATCTTTCTATTACTTTTGCCCTTGTGTTTAATAATTAATTCATTAATTGTGATGAATCTCTTATTTGAAAAATTAATTGTATGATTCTCTTATTTTAGATGGACATTGTTGGTGAATCAACTCTGCCTCAAAACACCATGGTGGCACCTTGACAAACTCCTAGTTCTCTTGGTGGATCCGGAAATCCCGCCGATGCAACTCCAAAAGAAGGTGACCAACATGACCAAGTAAGTAAAGAAGAAGCTCTTTTGGAATCATTAAAAAGTCATGAAAGGTCTACAATTTGGGAGCATTTTGAAAGAAAAATTGAGGGTGGTAGAGTTAAGGGATTGTGCAAGTATTGTGCTCAATCATATATGGCCGACCCTGATAAAAATGTACAACTAATTTAAGAAACCATATAGCAAGATGTAGAAGCTACGGTCCTAATAAGGAAATATTTGCCGCAAATAGGCAAAAGATCTTAACCTTTGCCGGCACGAAAGATAAGTTGGAAGCTATAGGATTTTCTCAAGAGGAAGTAACTAAGGCTTGTGTTGAGATGATAATTATAGATGAGTTGCCTTTTACTTTTGTTGAAGGAGAAGGTTTTCACCGTTTTTGCATGCAAGCATGTCCTATGTGGAGAGTGCCTAGTCGTAAGACAATTGCTAAGGATATACTTAGCTTGTTTTATTCCGAAAAGGATAAATTGAAGAGTCAATTGAAGACATTTAGGGTGTGTCTAACAACGGACACATGGACTTCTATTCAACAAACCAATTATATGGTTCTCACCGCCCATTTTATTGATGATGATTGGATGTTACATAAAAAGATTTTGAATTTTTGTGTCATTCCAAATCATAAAGGAGAATCCATCGCTCAACTTTTGGAGGAATGTTTAGTGGAGTGGGGTATAGAGAAGGTGTTAACCATTACGGTTGACAATGCTTCCGCAAATGATTCCGGTTTAAGGGGCTTGGTGCACCGAATAAGTGGGTGGGGGATTCCTAATGCACTCTTGCATGATGGAAAATATTTGCATATGAGATGTGTTGCTCATATTCTCAATTTGGTTGTGAATGATGGGATAAAATTGTTGAATACGACTATACAAAGCATTCGAAATGCGGTTAGGTACGTAAGATCTTCCCCCCAAAGGTTGGAAAGCTTTAAAAGGTGTGTTGAGAAAGTGAGAATAGAGAGCAAAGGGCTTGTGATTTTGGATGTCCCTACTAGGTGGAATTCCACATTTTTAATGTTGGAATTGGCTTTAAAGTTCAAGATGGCTTTTGATAGATTAAAAGTAGATGATGGTCATTACCTTCCGTACTTTGTTAAAGACAATCATGATAATATGAGGGAGGGGCCACCTTCGATGGATGATTGGAGTGAGGCGGAGATATTTGCAATCTTTTTGAGACCTTTTTATGAAGTCACTTTAAAAGTATGTTATTTTAATACTCCAACCGTTCATACTACTTTTGGTGATTTGTTTAAGATCAAAAGTCTCTTGCATGAAAACAAAGATGATGAACTTTTGTCTATGATCTCCAAGTTGATGCAAGAAAAATATGACAAGTATTGGGGTTCACTTGAGGACATGAATCAATATCTTTTTATAGCACTTGTGTTTGATCCTCGCCCCAAATTAGAGAAAGTCATTGATTATTTTGAGATACAATTTGGTGAGGATGAAGAAAAGGTTGAAAGTGCCACAAATGGGGTGAAGGACTTGTTGATTGATCTTTACAAGATTCATGAAGATATGTCTTTGAGTACACAACAAAGTATAAGTGGTGGTGGTGGTAGTTCTCAAACGACAAGAGGAGACTCTTCATCAAGCATGACCGAAATAGAAAGAAAGTTGAAAGAAAAAAGTGACATGAGAAAACCAAAGAGAGCCCGGGTTGTGCATAATGATGTAGACAAGTATCTTTCCGATCCTAATGAAGGAGAAGAAGAGGAGAACTTTGATGTATTGAATTGGTGGAGAGTGAATGGGGTTTCTAAGTACCCAATTTTGGAACGTGTTGCAAGAGAGATCTTAGCTATTCCCGTATCAACCATTGCTTTGGAATCCTCGTTTAGTACAAGTGGACGGATAATTGATCCATATCGTAGTTCTTTAAGTCCAAAAATGGTGGAGGCTTTGATATGTACTTAAAATTGGCTTAGGTCCATTCATGTTGCATTACATCATGAGCCAACCATTGAGGAGATGGAGTTTTGTGAAGAAGTTGAGAAAGGTAATTTTATTTATTGCATTTGATTTTGTTAGATTATTTTAAATAACATTTTAATTAGTATCTTTTCTTTTATTATTTCTATGTAGAAATGGAAAGTGGAAGTTCAAAAAAAGGTGATATGTTGCCCCCTAGGCCACCCAAGCGTTAGCAAGCAAATTGTCGTTGAAAAAGTACGTGGATCACTCTCATTGTGGGGCACTTGAAAGTTGAAATTTGGAATTTGAAATTTGGAATGTTTATTTTAGTCTTTTAGATGTGGAATACTTGAACTTTGATGTTTATTTTAAGTTTGGACTTTTGGAAGATTTAAACTTTGATGTTTATTTAACTTTGGACTTTGGAACACTTGATTATAATTAAACTTTGAATTGAATGTTTATTTTCATTGTCTTTGAGTTGAGACTATGATTATATTAGAAATGTGGAATGCTTATTTTGAGTCTTGACGATTATGTTGAAATAGGACTTATTACAAAATGGATGCAAGTTGTTTTCATATACTTTTTTTAAGCTACTTGAGGAAAAAAGCAAAAAAAAAGTAAAAAAAAAAAAAAAAAAAAAAAAAAAACCGAACCGGGCCGAAACCGAACCAAATACAAACCGAACTGAACACAAATCGATAGAAAACCGAACCGAACTGAACTGAACAGTAATTTCAGTTCGATTTTCGATTTTCGCAAAAAACCGAACCGAACGGAACTGAACCCACCCCTAATAAAACATGCACATGATATGCTCACAAATCTGAGCCAACAAAAAAACCCAGAGCTCACAGTTCTCTATTCGAAATTAGAAAAATGACGTCATCCCCTGTGATGTCACCACCATATACACTATATGCACACTACATGCACATGATATGTATAGAACTAGAGATTGAGCAACAAGCTGTTTTTTGCATTAATAAGAAACTTTAATAGCAACCTATTGGCATAGTAGATACAATTAAAACATAATTGTTATGTATATAAAGGTTACAGTGGCAATTTGAAAAGTCTTGTTATGTATATCAACCACCGCTTAACCATGCACGTGGAAAATATAATACTCGTTGTCATTATTTCATAGACACGCATGACCCTTAACTTCCTCTAAGCTTTTTCTTAATTTTGTTTTTTGCCTAGGCCAACTAGGTTGTGGTCATACTTGCTAAATTTTGAAGCACAACATATGTGCATCATAACTAGTGAACGTTCCCACTTCTCATATTAAGATGTAGTCATGCATACCATATGCACACCACATGCAAATTTCGAAAAAAATTTCACAAATATTTGTAATTGGACACTCGAACCAGAAATTGTTTCATCCTAGTTTTGTAGCACATGAAAAAGTAAAGTTTATTCCACAACCCATAGGCCCCAACATGAAACACATACCCTAATTTAATTACTTAGTATTAATTCATCTTACAAACAACTTTATTCCATAAATCATTGATGTAGAAACTTGGAATTAAACATCCTACCTTACTATGCTTGCCGAAGCTTTAGTCGCTAGAAAAAATGGAACTTTTCATCCAGAACAGAAAATATGGTACAAATATCCTATCTTTAAGGATGGAAGAATTTGTTGTGTTGGTATTGGAAGAATAACATACATAGCTCACAAATTTGAGCTCAAACCTGAAAACCCCAACCTCACTCTTCTCATCTCTATCTCACATCCCTTTGTTCAAAATCAGAGATATGAGGTCAACGCAAAACCCAGCTCACTCTCCTCATCTCTCTTTGGACTTCCCTCTCTTCAAAATCTAAGCTTAACCCAGAAACCCAGAGCTCTCTCGACATCCCTATCTTCTAAATGAGAAAAGTACTGATGCAATGAGCTTTTTTAGTATTTATATGTGGATATCTTAGTAATTTCAGTTTTTGTGCATGGCTTGTGCATGACCAGTTTTCTTATTTATATCCCAAGACTAAGAAAATGGGTCATTTTGGTCTATTTCCCTATATTGTAAGACCAACACCCAACCCTACCAATAATTCATTTAAAATATGAAATTGAAAACAAAAGAAATTTTTTAAAAATATCCTCACAGTATGTCATGTGGTTATAGCTATAAACGAGTTCAAATAAACCTTTCTATCTATCTATCTTTGTACGTGACTAGGGATGGCAACATGGCAAATTGGGTTCGGATGTGCCATCCTCGTACTCGAACCCATTTATTTTCCTCAAACCCGAAACCGTAGAATCCCCAAACAAGTTTTCCTCGAGTATCGGAGTTCTCCTTGGGTAACAGATTTCACATCGGGGAACGGTTTTCCCCATTATGGTATTTATATTATTAATTAAATAAAGACTTTTAAATAAAAAAATATTAAATAAATTTTGTTGTTACTAATACAATTGATACAATGCATCTAATAAGTAATGTTAAATATTTATATTACCAAGAAAACATTTACACTCCTAAAAATTATAAGCATATAATTTATAGTATTAATGTTCTAAAAGTAAATAATTAATTTTCATATATAATAATGCATGATTGATAGATTATTAACAACTTATTTCTATATAATAAATATTTTTATTTTTTTTATTAATAACCGAAACAGTTTGGTTTTGGGGTGAATACCCCAATAACCATATCCGAACTCAAAATCGAAAAATTTACCTGCAATTACCATAACCATAAAATACCCAAAATTTAATGCCTGATACCGAATCATTCGGATTGGTTACTTATAGGGATCGGATTTGACGGGTTAAATTGCCATTCCTATATTTGACAAGTAGATAAAACTCGAAACTTTAGAATGAGGTGGGCTGAGCGTTCAAACTAAACAAGGTTCGATATGAGTTGTAAATATCCACGTTAAGAAAGTCATAGATTATAGATGGAGGAGCATCTAACTGAGTACAATCATCACCACAATGGAGGGCAAAATGAGTTAATCGATGAGCAACCGAGTTGGCTTGGCGATGGATGTGGGCAACACAAGCTTTAGCGACCGTAGATAGCAAGTGCTTTACATATTCTATAATAGTTCCCATGTGCAAACATATTAGTAGAAGAGTCTTACAATGCCAAGACGATATGAAGTGAATCACTCTCAAAGTCGATCATATTTAAGCCCCATTTAGCCGCAGTCTCAAACCCAACTCTAATTGTCAGCGCCTCCGCTTGGATATGAGAGAAAACATCTTCAAATACTCTAGAGATAGCACCCAAAGACTTCCCTTTTCAAGTCCATAAAAACCACCCCTACACCACCTACCTTGTTTTCCTTATCCCATGCTCCCTCCACATTAATCTTGATCATGCCAAAAGGAGGGCACGACCACCTAGGTGTGGCAGACTGATTGTTAGATCATGATGCACAGGTTGTAACTTTTTGAAAATCATGCCACCAATCCATCGCACAACCAACAACACTAGAAGGGTTTGGGTTGAGATCTTCTCCCCAACACTTCACATTTCTAGTTGTCCAAATAGCCCAACATAGCATAAGAACACATTCAAAGTCAAATGGCTTAAGTTCCAGAGCCATTTGCAATGCCCATTCCTTCAGCGAATATTCTTTCCAGTGAGTTGGTCGCAACCTCAAAAGATAAGCCATCCAAACATCATGCAAATAGATATTAGAGCATAATATGCCTTGAAGATTCAACATTATTACCACATAAAATGCACAATGGGTCAACTAAGATTTTACTCCTAAGAAGGTTAACCCCCCGTAGGGATTATATTAGAAAATACTCTCCAAGCAATCATTCTTACTTTGGGTGACATTTTTGCCTTCCACAACTTACCCCATAATGCAGTGAAGGGGCTACAATCGGAAGATGATGAGGAAGTGAGAGGAGGAGGAGTAACCCACATACGAGCCACATGATAAGCACTTTTGACAGTGAAATTCCTTTTTTATCATAGTGCCATATCAGTCGATCCCTAGCATTTTGTTTGCTTAAAGGAAGGGTGCGAACAAGTTCAACCTCCTTGGTCGATAAAAAAGAATTTAAAATCACCAAATCCCATTAGCTTCACTAGTAATGAGATTACTGACCATGGAAACATTACAATCTACAGGTTTAGGGGAAAAGACCTGGAACGTAGATGGTTGAGGGATCCAACGGTCACCCCACACCCTGACAGAACTTCCATTCCATATCTGCCATTTTGACCCACGCTTGATCACTTCCCTTGCTGCACAAATACTCCTCCACACATAAGAAGCATTCGACAAGACCACAGCTTCCATAAACGAAGATTAAGGAAAGTATTTTGCTTTTAAAGTCATTGCTATCAGAGATAACGGATCATGTATAATCCTTCACCCTTGCTTGGCAATGAGAGCGAGATTAAAAGTGAAGAGATTATGAAACCCAAGGCCACCCTCAAGTTTAGGTAGACAAATCTTGTTCCAGGCCATCCAATGAATTCTCCTTGTATTCTTGGATTCATTCCACCAGTATGATGCCACTGACTGATTCATTTCATCATAGAAATATTTTGGGATTAAAAAGCTATTCATGGTGTACAACAGGATGGTTTGAGCTAAAACATTTACTAACAACTCTTTACCAACAACACTCAAAATTTTCCTTTTCCAGCCTTGAAGTTTCTTCCAAAGTCTCTCTTTGATATGATTAAAACATACCCCACGATTTCTTCCCACAAATGTTGGAAGCCCCAAGTACTTCTCATGTCTGTCAACTCTTTCCACTCCAATTAAAGCTGCCAGTAGGTTTTGGTCATTCCTCATGATATTACAACTAAAACATATTGCACTTTTTTGTAGGTTAACCTGTTGGCCTGAAGTCCTCTCATAGCAAGCTAGAATTTTTTAAACCGTCTCACAATCCTTATTTCGAGCTCTACCAAAGATGAAGCTATCATTGGCGAAGAGTAAAAGGTTTACATAAAGGGCATTTTGGCACATTGAAATTCCTTAAATAACCCCAACCC